GTTGAGGCTGCGGTGGCCGGGAGTGGCCACTGCACTCCAGTCTGGGCGACAGAGTGAGACTCCAACTCAAAAAAAAAAAAAAAAAGGTTCTAAAGTTCCTGAATGTTTGCACTTGAGAATGTTCATATTTCAATGGCAAAGGTAGAAGACACAGAATTCTGAGAGTGTTTTAAGGGGAAGTTGAGGCAGGCACAGTGGCTCACGCCTATTATCTCAGCACTTTTAGAGGCCGGAGTGGGAGGAGTGCTTAAGGCCAGGAGTTCGAAACCAGCCTAAACAATATAGCAAGACCTCCTCTCTGCAAAAATAAAAAATAATTAGCTGGGTGTGGTGGTGGATGCTTGTATCCCAGCTACTCGGGAGGCTGAGGTGGGAGGATAGCTTGAGCCCAGGAGTTCAAGGCAGTGGTGAGCAGTGATTGTGCCACTGTACTCAGCCTGGTGACAGAGTGAGACCCTGACTCAAAGATAAAAAATTAAAAAAAAAAAAAAGAAAGTTGAGGGAATTTTCATAGGATCTGGAGGCCAATAGTATGAGTTCTTTTGTTTTAGTTTTAGTTTTCTTTTTTTTTTTGAGTTGGAGTCTCACTCTGTCACCCAGACTGGAGTGCAGTGACCGCTCCCGGCCACTGCAGACTCGACCTGCTGGGCTCCAGCGATACTTCCACCTCAGCTTTCCAAGTAGCTGGAACTACAGGTGCGTGCTACCACACCCGGCTAATTTTTTGATTTATTGTAGAGATGAGGTCTCGCCAAGTTGCCCAGGCGGGTCTCGAACCCGCGGGCTCAGGCAATCCACTCACCTCAGCCTCCCAAAGGTGCGGGATTACAGGCTGAGTCACCAATCCCGGCTTAGTTTTCTACTTTTAGTGTGAATAAAATTACCCTCCCTAAGTAAAATTTGTAACACGTATATACACGGTGCTGATTAAACTAGAAAATGACAGTATCTGGTCCCCTTCCCTGGTCATACGGCATCAGCCCTTTATTCTGTCGGCAATGTTTACCCATTTCCCTTTCCTTGATGCTATCAAAGCTAGTTCCTCCTTGATTAGAATGAGTCTAGTGGTTGGTGGAAGAACAGGTAGAGAAAAGAAAAACAAAATAACAGGGCAAGATTGGGGGACAAAGAAAGAGGGTGGTAATTCCAGAGGCTCGACGGAGAAGTATTCGTGAGAAAGCATTTCTTCTGAGGTGGAAGTGTTGTGGGAGTTTTGAGTTCCACTGTCAGCTTAAACCAGCAACCTTGGGTTCTTGTCCCACGACCAAGAAGAGGAAGAAACGCAAACACCAAAAGGTTGAGTGAAAGGAGGTTATTAAGCAACAAAGCTCTCTAGAAAAATGAGAGGGGTCCCAGAGTGGGTTATCTGGCGTTAGGTGTGTTTTTTTTTTTGTGGTTTTTATCTTACCTTTTCTGGGGGCGTTTCTCTCGTTTACATCTCATTCACCCCTTACTTCCTGAGATCCAATTCTTATTGCAAATGCAGGTCCTTGACCAAAGTTACTCCATGGTGAATATTACCCGTAAGTGCCATAGAAAAGCCCAGTCGAGGGTAAAACTGCAATGCAAATACTATGTTAATGATATTATAATAAGCCAAGGTCACACTAGGACATCTATTTAAGCTACTGTGCCTGTGTTTAATCAACAAAGAGTCCCTTTTAGCAGCATATCCTGGGTGGACAGAACGCTCTTAACTACACTAACTACGTTTTCAGCCAAAAATTATATAATGGGGGTGTTGCAGGGGGTGTTCCTGCAGGAGTTAAGTCTCCTCCAGACCCTCCCCCTCTGTCTACCTAACCAGCTTCTGACTATCTCCTTTCTGAGCTAACAGGGAACTGAGCTAACAGGGAAAACAGAAGAAGAAGGGTTGTGCCCACAAAAGGATGGAGGGATTGTTACTGGGCTTGGAGGTTTGGCTACCCTGTGGAGGAAGTGGGGAGAAGGGGTAGCCCAAGCATGAGGACAGAGTGCATTTGGAGAAGGACACTGTCACCAGCTTAGCCATCCCTTGAAAGACATCCCTAGACTGAATGTCTGAAAGTGTGAGTCACGTGTTCTTTTCTAGATAGAAAGATCAATGCCCCAGCATTGTTTTCAGGTTTTTATTTGTTTTGTTTTTGTTTGTTTGTTAAGAGACAGAGTCTTTCTCTGTTGCCCAAGCTGGAGTGTAGCGGCGCCACTGTAGCTCATGGCAGTCTTGAACTCCAGGCTTCAAGTGCTCCTCCCACTTTGACTTCCCAAAGCGCTGGGATTACAGGCGTGAGCCATCGCGTCAGGCCTGTTGCTGTTTTTTTTTTTTTGGTTGTTTTTAACCAATGTAAAGTGTTACATAAATATTGAGTGAACGGGAAAGCAAACAAGAAACTGGGGATCATTGGTGGGAACCTGAGTCAAGTCTGTTCCTGGTAGACTGGAAGCGACAAAGGGGTTTATCATGACATGGCTTTATCATGACATGGCTTGATTTAATTGATCTTTTTTTTTTTTTCTTTTCTAGGAGTCTTGCAAACAACAATCTCCAGACGCTTCCAAAAGATATTTTCAAAGGCCTGGATTCTTTAACAAATGTGTAAGGGGACCTGAGATATCACTGAGTAATTAACTAACTTGCAGTAATTAACAAGGAAGCCTGGTATTGATCACTAGAATTTTCAATTGGCTTTTAAATTAAATCTGAATTTCTCAATTTCAGTTTTAAATTGACCTAAAACTTAAATGTACAAAGACTAACGTTTGAGTCTTCTATGATACCATCGGGAATTCCGAATCCACAGTACCCAGGCATTCCTTTGGCAAAGTGTATATCTACAGGGCAGGGCGTGTTGATGAGGGATGATAAGGGTGGGAAGAGGGGACCAGGATAGAAATGTTAAGATTTTTTTTTTTCCTCCTGAGGTTCAGGAAATGGGGCTACAAAGGAAAACACAAAGGAGTCTGGGAAACTGACAGAGTCGAGATGAAAGGTTACACCCTTGGGTTGGTCAGTCAACAGAGAAGTGGAGCAGGAAGTGGGGGAAGGGAAGAAAGTTTGCCTTTTCTCTTGTTAGATGGAAGGACAACTCTAGGCTTAATCCCCAGGAATTTGGCTTAAGCCCCAGGAAGGGAATGGACTTAATTATTTTTGACCCTTTTTCAAACAAAAGCGCTTTCAAACTTTGACTTTTAAGCCTCTGAGTGAAAGATCTTTGCGAGGAATTTGTATATTTTGCTGTAAGCGAAGCAAGTAATATATGTCTAAACCTCTCAAAAGCAATTTAGCTTTGTGAAATGCCTTCCAGAACTTTTGAAAGGTATTTAAATGTCATAAGGTGGAATACAGGAACAAATGAAAGGATATGTGTGGTTATTATTTAGGTACTTTGCTGTAGAATATATAGCCAAGACAACTTTTCTCCAATAACAACAAAAAAAGTCTGAGTCAAATATTTTCTTCTAAGCCCAGTATGTAACGTCAAATCAGGAAGCTAATGAAAAACTTCTTTGTTCCTTGTAGTATTTTCCCAATCCTTCCTCCAGGCCCATTACCCTGATTCCTGAATGCTGGTTTATTTCCAAGAGGGCGCCCCAATCCGGACACTTCCAAGAGAGTCCCTGACAGACCACAGTTATCTAATCAGCTTTATGGTAGCCAAAGGTCTGTCATTCATTCTGAGACAGAGCACTCTTGGGAGATGAGGTCAGTTCTGGGAATGTCTTGGAAGTTAGATGATGCCCCATGACCGACTTGGGTTGTAGCTCATTGGGGGCTCTTTACTTCATTCTTGTGTCAGTCTGTGCCCTACCGTAGTAAAATCAAAACAAAACAAAAACAAAAGCAAAAGGAGACAAAGTCTGCAGGAAATCGCATGACAGGATATGATCACATCAAGCATTGTCTTAGAAGTACAAGGATCCATGCCAACTTGCCTTGGAGCGGCTTTCTTGAAAGCATCCCCTGAAAAAACATTTTGAAATGTTTGGGCGTTTAAAAGATTATGTATGAGCTGTGTGAAGAGTAGGCGGTACCTATCTTAGGAATTCTGTGTGACCAGGAGAGGAGGTGGAATTCCCAAATAGAAACAAGGCAGATAAACAGAGAGCGTGGTGAGTTGGGGTCATATGTGGAGATTTAAGCTGTCTATGCTGTATAATTTATTACAGCATGAGCCGTTGTATTTCTATGGTAACTCTGCTGTGTCAAAGTCATTTCCTAGGAAAAGTTAGGGTCTAGACCATGGAGGAGGATCAGGAGGAATTAGGTCTGTGAGGAAGAAGAAAAGCAAACAGCTCACTTGATTTAATGAAATCCCTTCCAATCATCACTACATCCTGTTCTTTAGACCTGTGTTGTCCAATATAGTAGCCACCAGCCACTTGTGGCCACAGAGCACCTGAAATGTGCTCCTAGTGCAACCAAAGAACTGGATTTTAAACTTCACTTAATTAAAAAAAATTAAATTCAAAATTGATTCTCAGTTCAATTACTGGACAACGTTGAAGTATATTTGGAATAACTTGGGTGTATGAATCTATTTCTTTCAACTATAAGTTTTATGCAATCTAAACATAGATCACCTATTTCTGATTAAAAAAAAAATATATATATATATATATAAAATGTCCGAATTGAGATCTTTTGGAAGTATAAGATACACACCGGACTTCAAAGACTTAGTATAAAAAATAATGTGAAATATCTCAATCATGTTTATATTGACGACACGTCAGAATGGTAGTATCTTGTATGTACTGGGTTGAATAAAATATATTATTAAAGTTAATTATGTCTGTTTACTTTTTTAATGTGACTATAGCACGTTTTCAATTGCATACACAACCTTAGATGGAGCCACCTTTGAATCCAAAAGGGAGTAAGCTATGAGGTTCCCTCAACTGGGGTGGCCTTCAAGGGTGCATGGAGGTGACTCTCTGAGCTCAGAGTAAGTGGACAGTCAGGTTCAAGGCAGGTCGTGGGGCAGGTTGTGAAGCCAGGTGAGGGCATGCCTCCGTGTTAATCGCTGACGTAGCAGTCATGCCTGTGTAGGTGGGACCCTTGTACAGCCCAAGCAGCTGAAGTCTGTCTTTCAGGGACCTGAGGGGGAACTCATTTAACTGTGACTGTAAACTGAAGTGGCTGGTGGAGTGGCTCAGCCACACCAACGCCACCGTGGAAGACATCTACTGTGAAAGCCCCCCGGAATACAAGAAGCGCAAAATCAACAGTCTCTCCTCCAAGGACTTTGATTGCATCATCACAGGTAACGTACGTAAATTCCACCTTAGAAAATTAAAATAAGAGCTACGCTTTGTGGCATGTGCTGAAGCTGTTATATAGAACATCATACAATTATAATACATTTAAATAAATATATATTTAATTTTAGAGTGCTGGGGTCAAGTGTTGTCTTCTAAGCCCAGTGGGTAACTTCAAATCAGGAAGCTAATGAAAGACTTCTTAGTATTTTCCCAGTCCTTCCTCCATGCCCATGACCCCGATTCCTGAATGCTGGTTTATATCCAAGAGGGTGTCCCAATCTGGACACTTCCAAGAGAGTCCCTGACAGACCACAGTTATCTGCTCAGGTTTACGGTAGCCAAAGGTCTGTCACTCATTCTGAGACAGAGCACTCTTGGGAGATGAGGTCAGTTCTGGGAATGTTTTGGAAGTTAGACATAAGGATTTGCTGCATAAGTAGATTTCGTGAAGCAGAGGTCTGGGCTTCTAGTGAGCCCTTACCCCCGGGAGTGGACATGGTGCCCCGTGTGTGGTTGCGTGTCCCTTATTCCTCTCCCTCCCTCCTTTAGCGGTGCCCAGTGTCTGTTTTCCGCTTTTGTGTTCATGTGTGTAGGGTCCACTTATGAGTGAGAACATGCGGCATTCCGTTTTTTTGTTTCTGTGATAGTTCACTTAGAATGATGGTCTCCAGCTGCTTCTACGTTGCTGAAAAAGTTATATGATTCTGTTCTTCTTCGTGGTTGTGTAGAAGTTCTTTGTGTATATGTGCCACGGTGAAGGGCCCCAGTCCACTTCGATGGGCATCTGGGTTGGTTCCATATTTTTGCAATTGTGAATAGCGCTGCAATGAATACATCTGTGCGGGTGTCTTTTTGGTTAAGTGATTTATGCTCCTCTGGGCGTACTCCCAGGAGTGGGAAAAATTAGCCGAGCAATTGAATTTGTAAAAAATTATGAACTGTTAAATCTTCCTGTGTTTAAAAATATGTAAAATTGCCATTTTACTATTTCTCTAAAATAAGCGTATTTCTTATGGATATTGGCAATCTCAGTAAGGAAAGAGGTATCGTTCACAGACACAGATCAGCATTTCCTATTTTTGCAGAATTTGCAAAGTCTCAAGACCTGCCTTATCAATCACTGTCTATAGACACCTTTTCATACCTGAACGATGAGTATGTAGTGATTGCTCAGCCTTTTACTGGAAAATGCATTTTCCTCGAATGGGACCACGTGGAAAAGACCTTCCGGAATTACGACAACATTACAGGTATGATGGGCCCCCTAATGTTTTGAGCAGAAAGTTAAACTGCTTCAGCCAAGGGCAACGGGAAAAGATAAGTGGTGGGACGGAATGCTTTGAGCAGGTTTAGAGTCATCTGAAGTCCAGCTCTACTCTTTCCTAAGTGTCCTGGGATCGTTCTCTCAGCCTTAATGTTCTCACTTATAAAATGGGTACAATCGCCAGGCTCGGTGGCTCAGCCTGTCATCCCAGCACTTCAGGAGGCCGAGGCGAATAGATTCCCTGAGCCCACGGGTTCGAGATCAGCCCAGGCAACTTGGTGAGACCTCGTCTCTACACTAAATAATAAGAAAAAACAATTAGCGGGGCGTGGTAGCATGTGCCTGTGGTTTTGGCTGCTTGGAAAGCCGAGGCGGAAGGATCACCTGAGCCCAGCAGGTTGATGCTGGGGTGGCCATGAGCGTGCCACCGCACTGCAGCCTGGCGACGGAGTGAGACTCTGACTCAAAAAAAAAAAAAAGGGGGCATAAGACCGACCCACAGAGCTGTTAGTAAGACAATGTGATCACATACTCAAGAAGCTTGGCATAGGGCCTAGCACAATATATATGCAATAAAAAATTTCTTTTTTCTTCTGGATTAATTTTCTTCTAAGAAAAAGTATTGCACCAGGAATCATGAGTACTAATCCAGGTTATGCCACACTCTAGCTGGGCAAGCCACTCGTCCTCACTGGATCCCCGTTTGTCTGAACTATAAAGTGAGGAGGTTAGGCTGGGCTCGGTGGCTCAGCCTGTAATCCCAGCACTTTGGGAGACCAAGGCGAGTGGATTGCCTGAGCCTGAGGGTTTGAGACCAGCCCGGCAACTTGGCGAGACCTCGTCTCTACAACAAAATAAAAGATTAGCTAGGTGCAGTAGTGTGCTCCTGTAGTTCTGGCTACGTGAAAGGCTGAGGCGGAAGGATTACCTGAGTCCAGCAGGTCGAGGCTGCAGTGGCCGTGAGCGTGTCAGTGCACTCCAGCCTGGGCGACAGAGTGAGACTCCAACTCAAAAAATAAAAATAAGTAAATAAATAAACCCTAAAAACATAAAATGAGGAGGTTATTTTAGATCAGCGAGTCTCAAGCTTTGTTATAAAAACATTTCTTCTCCAAAAGGTTAATGTGTGCCTTATAACAAAAGGGGTTTTGTGATCCAATAAATCTGTGAACTACATTTCTCTCTTGGAGATTCATAACATATATATCAGAGGCTCTGAGAAGTCCTGCAATGAGGAAACTTTTTCTAGTATTTTTCACACTTAATTTGGCCACAGGATTCAGTTCTTTCCCTGAAAACCTTTACTCCGAAGATATCTGAAGTTTTGCTCCTACTGCAACAATTTTTAAATTGGGAATTGGGAATTAGAACATGGGGCTCCCTCTGAAATATTTACATCAGCTACAGCTTCTAACACCTTTAAATCTGTTCCTAAGAACATTCAAAGCTCTCCACGAAAGGTCACCCTTCAGACAAGGCTTGGACATAGGTGGCCATCAACTTCATTGCTCAAAGGCTCAAGACGGCCCCAGCTTACTTGAGGCTGAGGTTGCTTTAGATAAAGAGATCCCCTTCAAACTGTCACCCTTTCAGAATCCTCCTTTCTTAAGGAAGAAAGTTGGGTTTCCCTTTCTTCCTAAGCTCCCCCCGCCTCCCCCTCCCCCCAAGTTTTCCAGTGGACCACTGCAGGGTTTTGTGCAGCACAAACCAGGTTCTTCCAACCTGTGTACAGTTCATCAATTTCTTTGAATAACCCTTTGGGTGAGTGCTTAAAAGACAAATAGTTGAAACATTTGCAAACTTTCAAAGGGCACCTCAGTGCTCTTCTTGTCTGAGATGATATCTTAGTCCCTTCCTGCTGCTTTAACAAAAATACCTTAGACTGGGTAATTTATAGCCACAAGAATTTATTTCTCAGAGTTCTGGAGGCAGGGAAGTTCACAATCAAGGCGTCAGCAGATTCAATGTCTAGCGAGGGCTTACTCCCTGCATCAAAGATAGCACCTTCCCTGTGTCCTCACATGGCAGAAGGACAAAAATGGCCAAGCAGACCCCCTCAAGCCCTTTTGTAAGGGTACTTATCCCATTTATGAGTGTGGCATCCTCACAGCCTCATCACCTCCTAAAGACCCCACCTCTTGATACCGTTGCATTCGGGATTGCTTCAACATACATTTTAGGGGGACACATTCAGATTTTGAAGGAGGCCGGGAACAGCGTCTCATGCCAGTAATCCCAGTACTTTGGGAGACCGAGGTGGGAAGATTGCTTGAGCCCAGGATTTCGAGACCAGCCTGGGCAACTTAGAGCGACCTCGTCTCTACAAAAAAAATTTTAAAAAATGAGCCAGGTGTGGTGGTGTCCCCCTGTATGTAGTCCTGGCTACTTAGGAGGCTAAGGTGGAAGGACCACCTGAGCCCAGGAGGTCGAGGCTGCAATGAGCCATGATGGTGCCAAAGCACTCCATCCAGCCTGGATGACAGAGTGAGACCCCTACTCAAAAATTAAAAATAAAATTTAAAAATTTTTTGGAAGGACACGAACATTTAAATTTTGCAGGGATACAAACCATAGAAGATGAGAAATATGTGTACCGTATTTTCTCCTCCCTCACCCAGGCAGACACTGCTAATCTAGTTCTTTCTTGCAGCTTGTAGACATGGCCACAGAATCCTCGTCAACACGGTTCTCCAGGCAGTCACAATCAGCCAGTCGATCAGTATTGGTTCACATGTTGGAACCTAGTGGTCATCCTCAATCTAGTCTAAACCCTCATTGCACAGAAGAGAAAAGTGAACCCCAGAGAAGCTATGTGATTTTCCCAAGAACGCACAATCAGCTTAGTCTTGAAAAGAATCACAAATAAAATAATTTTGCCGGCCAGGCACGGTGGTTCAGCCTGTGATCCTAGCACTTTGGGAGGCCGAGTCGAGGGGATTGCCTGAACTCTCAGGTTCGAGACCAGCCCAGGCAACTTGGCGAGACCTCGTCTCCACAATAAATTTAAAAAATGAGCCGGGCATGGTAGTGCGTGCCTGTAGTTCTGGTTACTTGGAAGGCTGAGGCAGAAGGATTGCCAGAGCCAAGCAGGTTGACACTGGGGTGTCCGTGAGCGTGCCACTGCACTGCAACCTGGGCAGCAGAGTGAGATTCCAACTCAATAATAATAATAATAATAATAGGCCGGGAGCGGTGGCTCATGCCTATAATCTTAGCACTTTGGGAGGCTGGGATGAGAGGATTGCCTGAGCTCGCTGGTTCAAGACCAGCCTGGGCAACTTGGTGAGACCTCATCTCGACAATAAATCAAAAATAATAATAATAATAATAATAATAATTTTGCCTATGGCTGGAGCCAATTAGTAGAATTGATGCAAAACTTTCTGTCTCTACATTCTCTGGAGAGGTAGTTAGAGGAGGCTGAGGGTCCAGGCTTGCTCAGCCTGTCTTAGGATTTTCTAGAGCCAAGCTCCCCCTGGGAGATCAGAATCTACTGATAAATGTCAAACTCTTCCCAAAAGGACACCCCACATCGTTTTCTGAGATTCCTCAAAACAACTTGAGGGAGCATCTCTCGTGGCTGTGCCCCCTTTTAGGGTTTGTTTTGTTTTAAGTTGGAGTCTCACTCTCGTTGCCCAGGCTGGAGTGCAGTGGCACACACGTGGCCACCCCAGCCTTGACCTGCTGAGTTCAGGTGATCCTTCCGCCTCAACCTTCCAAGTAGTTTAACTACAGATGCATGCTGCTGCACCCAGCTAATTTCTTTTGTGATTTATTGTCGAGACGAGGTCTCACCAAGTTGCCCAGGCTGGTCTCGAACTCCCAGGCTCAGGCAATCTTCTCTCCTCGGCCTCCCAAAGTACTGGGATAACAGGCTGAGCCACCACACCCAGCCCCTCTAGGTTTTTATAAGGATTTCTCTTCCTTCTCTTCGCTCTTGCCACTAGTGACCTAGAGGTCCAGAATAATAACAAGTAGTATCTCTTTGCTTCATCAGGAGAAAGCCAGGCTATTCTAGAGCAGAAACAGTTCACACTCAGAGTAAACCTCTCTTCTGCTGGGTTAAAAGAAAGCATAGAGGCGCCGATAGGCCTAGGTTTGAATCCCAACTCTGCCTTCTGCTGGAAGAACAGCCTCTCTGAACTTCAGTTTGCTCAGCTGGAAAAGGGAGGATAATCATTAACGAGGTGAATTGACAACGCATGTAGTAGGTGCTCAATAAATGGTGGTTTTCCTCAGAATTACTATGATTAATTCATGATGTGTCAGGGAAAGCAATGCTCTCTTTCTGCAAGAAGTGGGAGGAGAAAACTCAAGTCGTGTGTCCTGAAAGTCTAGAGTAAGCCAGGAGTGACATTACAACTCCATTGGTGGTAACAAGGGCTCACGAGGCACAAAGACACAGAACTCCAGGACACTGCTGCCATTGGCCATCCGAGACCGACCTTGCCTAATCAGCTGAGGAAACCTCCTGTTTCAGGTTGATTTGGGGGAAGGTTGTACAGCCCCAGACTTACATGCGCCCAGAGAGGATGGTCACACAACTCATCTCCTGTTTGTCTTTCCCCAGGCACGTCCACGGTGGTGTGTAAGCCCATTGTCATTGACGCCCAGCTCTATGTTATCGTGGCCCAGCTGTTTGGTGGCTCTCACATCTATAAGCGAGACGGTTTGACAAATAAATTCATAAAAATCCAGGATATTGAAATTCTCAAAATCCGAAAACCCAATGACATCGAAACCTTCAAGATTGAAAGCAACTGGTACTTTGTCGTTGCGGACAGTTCAAAGGCGGGTTTTACCACCATTTACAAATGGAACGGAAATGGATTCTACTCCCATCAATCCTTGCACGCGTGGTACAGGGACACCGACGTGGAATACTTAGAAATAGTCAGAACGCCTCAGACACTCAGAACGCCTCATTTAATCCTGTCCAGTAGTTCCCAGCGTCCGGTCATTTACCAGTGGAACAAAGCAACACAGCTATTCACTAACCAGACGGACATTCCCAACATGGAGGACGTCTACGCGGTAAAGCATTTCTCGGTGAAGGGTGATGTGTACATTTGCTTGACGAGATTCATTGGTGATTCCAAAGTCATGAAATGGGGAGGTTCCTCGTTCCAGGATATTCAGCGGATGCCATCGCGGGGATCCATGGTGTTCCAGCCTCTTCAGATCAATAATTACCAATATGCAATTCTTGGAAGTGATTACTCTTTTACTCAAGTGTATAACTGGGATGCAGAAAAAGCCAAATTTGTGAAATTTCAGGAATTAAATGTTCAGGCGCCAAGATCCTTCACGCATGTGTCCATTAATAAGCGTAATTTTCTTTTTGCTTCCAGTTTTAAGGGAAATACACAGATTTACAAACATGTCATAGTTGACTTAAGCGCATGAGACGCCAAGTTCTGTGGCCGCCATCAGAAACTTTCTACAGTTCATGACCCGGATTAACTCAATGCATGATGACTCTTCTTATCACACTTGCAAATGAATGCCTTTCAAACATTGAGACTGCTAGAACCAAGCACTACCAGTATCTTCGTCCTTAACTGTCCAGTCCAGTGGTGTGGGAAGTTACCTTTTCTAAGACAAAATTTAATTGAGTGACTGTTCTTTGCAGTGAAGATGTATAAATAAGCGTCTAATGGTATCTGTTACTCCAAAAAGAAATATTAATATGTACTTTTCCATTTATTTATTCATGTGCTCAGAAACAACTGCCAAATAAAATGTTTACATTTTCTTTCATATCCCAAAGGTAATTATTTACAGGAGTTTTTTTATTCTTGCTGATAGTATGTCGAAGAAAGCGTTTTATTCCACAGGGTTATATTTGGATCGAGGATTTATGGTGTGAAGAATGAGTGAAGATAAAACACTGATGTTGATTATCCATCATTTAAGAACACGTTTGTCTGTGGCTGTATCAGCTGATGTTGAACATTCAAAGGTGTTTCCAAAAGTCATGGCTTTTAGGGATATTTTTGAGGTGAGATGGTGACCAATTATAAGAAGGGTAGAGAAATTTGCCTGTTACAAGAAGACTCGTTTGAAATAAGGAACAGGAAGACCTATCCTTTGCTGTCTGATAACCCCAGCTAAAAACGTCACTCAGACAACTTATAGAAGAAACTAAAATCAAGACTTAGGATTCTAAAAACCCTATTCGGGGAATTTCTAAATATCTGACTCAAGAATCACCTGACAATTGGTAGAGATAGTAACCTTCCAGTATGTGCCTCAAATATCCCCGCTATAAAGGCCTCTTAATCTGATCAAGGATGCTTTGCTTCTAGATATCAATTTTGATGTTATTTACCTGCTGATGAGTGCCTCAAAGACTCCTATTCGACATTCTAAATTTCCACTCCAGGTTCACATGGGTCATTCGCCCCTTCCACAATGCCTGTGATATAGCTGGCGCTCACAAAAAATGCTTTTGAAGAAGCACATGTCCTCCTGTTAAAATATAATAAACTTTATGAGGCCTCTTGACCTAATCAGTATTTATTGATTACGACTAAGAATGGGTTATTGTGGCGGGGGAGGGGATTTGAGGAAGAGCAGGGCATATTCCTTGCCCTCTGGGGCCTTAGAAGATTAACTTGGGGCGGAGGGGTTAGAACACAAAAACCTAGAACAAACAGTTGAGTGCCAAGTACCATCTAAACACTTCAGATAGGTATCACGGGGGAATCAAAGATGACTTCCTGGAAGACGGTTCATGTTTGAACTTAAAGGGAAGATGTGAGGCTGGGCGCAGTGGCTCATGTCTTGGGAGACTGAGACAGGAGGATCACTTGAGGCCAGGAGTTTGAGACAAGCCTGGGCAATATAGTGAGATTCCATTTCTACAAAAAAAGAAAAGAAAAGAATAGAAAAATTAGCCAGGGGTGCTGGCACATGCCTGTATTCCCAGCCACCCAGGAGGCCGAGGTGGAAGGATCGGCTGAGCCCAGGAGGTTGAGGATGTGGTGAGCTGTGATCATGCCACTGCACTACACCCTGGGTGACAGAGTGAGACCCTGACTCAAAAAACATGCATATATGGATGAGTGTGTAACTTGCTTGTAATTGAATGACGGAAAAAGTACAGTTGACTTCTGAAGTTAGGTCATGAGAACCATGAGCTTCTCTTCTGCCTTCTAAACTGGGACACTTGATTTTGGAGCCCTGAGCAGCCACATATAAATTCCAGCTAGGTTGAGGCCACCGTCCTGTGTTGAGGGCATAGGTAGGTACTTTGGCCAACAGCCCCAGCTGTGGTCTCAGCCAATGGCCATCCTCCATCATGGTCCTGTGAGTGAAGATGCCTTGGGGTGGCTCCAGCCCCAGTCTTAAGGCCACTGCCAGATGTCAGATCTTCCCAGCTGAGGCACAGACTTGCAAAGCAGACATAAGTCAAAAGTGAACCCTCCATCATTTGAACCCAGGAGTCCAAGCCCACTCTGAACAACAAAGTAAGACTTCATGGTCCTGTCCAAATTCTTGACCCACAGACTCCACGAGCATAGTAAAATGACTTACATTGTTTTATTATTATTATTATTATTATTATTATGAGTTGGAGTCTCACTCTGTCGCCCAGACTGGAATGCAGTGGCACACTCACGGCCACCACAGCCTCAATCTGCTGGGCTCTGGTGATCCTTCTGCCCCAGCCTTCCAAATAGCCAGAACTACAGGCACACGCTACCATGCTCATCTAATTTTTGATTTATTGTAGAGACGAGGTCTTGCCAAGTTGCCCCGGTGAGTCTCAAACCCGCGGGGCTCAGGCAATCCACGCCTCGGCCTTCCAAAGTGCTGGGATTACAGGCTGAACCACTGAGCCTGGCCTACATTGTTTTTAAATGGCTAGGTTTTGGGGGCAATTTATTACACAACAGCAGTAAAGTACTTAACACAGAATGGGCACAAATGAACACTCACCAAGGGACAGTTATGGCTAACAGGCTTCACACTGAAACTCCTGCATGCTCTGGGTCATGCTCTCTACCTTATTGTCTTAATGGAACTCACTATCACTTTGTGTTTCAGAGAATAGTTCTTTTTTTTTTTTCAATACATGAGTCAATGGTCTTCCACTCTGCCTGGCATGGTGGGGAGGTCAGGAATGCAGAGATTAAAGTCTTGGACTCTGCCCCGTTTGCTTTCAGAGAAGCACAGAATATTAAAGTTAGCAAACTGATTCTCTAATTTACCTCCAAGCCTGACCCAGAGGTTTGACCCGAGCTGGCTGAGTTAGGACCATCTTCCAGACCGCCAGATACTCAGCCCGGTCCTCTCTCCACCACACAGTGTCACCTTTCAAAACCTTGCTCTCCCATTTGAACCTGAGATGCAGATGGGTTGGCGGGAGAGGTGGGAGTGAGGAGGTGGACTGAGAAGACAAATTCAAGAAAGATAGAGGAGGAAGGGAAGGTTCCTTTGTGTGTGTGTGTGTGTGTGTGTGTGTGTGTGTGTGTGTGTGTGTGTGTGTGTGTTTGGAGTACAGTGGCATGATCACAGCTCACCACAGCCTCGACCTTCTGGGCCCAAGCAATCCTTCCTCTTCAGCCTCCTGAGTAGCTGGGACTACAGGTGGATGCCAACACACCCGGCTAATTTTTTTTCTTTGTAGAAATGAAGTCTTGCTATGTTGCTCGGACTGGTCTTGAACTCTTGGGCTCAAGCAATGGAGGGTTCACTTTTGAAGGAACCAACCAGTCTTTTCTGAGAGTTGCCTCTCTTCCTGTACCGTTCATATACCCCCTCTCCAGCCAGAAGGCTACACCTGGAGTGAGCCCCCCATGTTCATCTAGAAAGAGCTCCAGGTGTTCATCCTGGAAGCTGGGCTGGGCTCAGCCCGAGTCAAGCCACTTCTTGCTACTGGACACACAGAATTAGGACAGCAGGGGCTGAGCCAATTTGCCTTAGTCACCAGATCTTTAAGGAGATGGTTGTATATCAGGGTCCTTGGGAACTGAGAAATTTCTTGAGGGAGTACTGTTAGGATTCACCTAGGGAGTGAGGGGTGCGGTGTAGACCAGGACATGATGCTAGTCAAGACAAGACAGTTGAGCCTGAGCCCTGTTCCCATGAGGGGCACTCTAGACCGTGAATGGTACCACAGAGTGCATCCTCCCTTGAGGCAAGGGTGATGGATTTCTGTACCCCCTCGTCTGATGGTCACTGACCAAGGAGTGTGGGGCATAACCCCTCAGGTATCTCTAGGAGAGAAGGATCTGGTTGGCTACGGACAGCAGCTGCAAGATGAAGGCATCAGCAGGAAAGGGCATCTGGGTGGGATCCCAGTAGCACATGCCTCAGTGGTGGTGACTGGGGAACTGAAGACACCATGGGGGCAGCCATGATGGTCCATGCACCAGAAGCACCCAGGAAGGTGGTCAGGAAGTGAGAAGAGAATGACATACACGCGCCAAAAGAAGCAGAGTTGGGAAACTACGTGGGCGGAGGGAGAGGGAAGAAGAGAGCAGAGAGAGAGGAAAGAAGAGAGAAAAAAGGTGAGAAAAAGAGAGAGGACAGGAGAGCAAAGAGGAAAGGGGTGTGAGAAGTAAGAGGAAGAGGAAGTAAGAAGGAAGAGGAAGAGGAAGACTGGGTGGTATGATGTTCCGGGTTGGGTTACCTGAGAACCCGACTCGGAGAAGTTAATGTGCAAACTTTCATTAAGGAGAACCCTTGAGATGTTCACCTGGGAAGGAGGAGAAGGAAGTAGTACTGGGCAGAGGGAGATGAAATTCCAATAAAAGGCTCAGGCAAGCTCGTAGGGAGCTCAGAGCTGGGATGTCCCTTCTCAGCTGTCCCAAGTTAGAACACGGGGACCAGGCCTTTCTATATACCCAAGCTCCATGTTGGTTAGCCATTGGATATATCTCCCTGTCCTGGAATTCCTTGAAATACTTCTGAACCTTCTACTAACAACCCAGACACGCACACAGTTTTGTTTTTGGCTTTTGTTGTTGTTGTTTTTTTTGTCTTTTGGGGAGGTTAATTTGAATGGTTTCTCTACTTGTCACAAAATTATCTCCAACTAACTTGAATGCTTAAGCACAAGATTCCATAATGTGGATACGATGTTAAGTGCTAGGTCTTTCAATCCTCTTTCTACCTGCCATTCAGACTGTATACTTTCTATCGATCTAGCTTCACGTTCGCTGACTTTTTCCTCTGTCATCTCTAATTTCAAATTTCTTCGAAAAGTATTATTAGTTTAACCAGACCAGCACTTCTTAATTTAAAAAAATTTAATGTATCGAACATTTTGGGACCTTGGAAATTAAAAAGTGTCCAGTGTATTTTGGACAAATGTCTTTTCCATTGCATCATGAACCGATACAATAAAAAGGAGTTACTACTAAAACGATCCAAGGCTTAGTTGTTGTGGCAATGTCTCAGTTCTTTACTTATCTCATCCCAGATTGATTCTAAACTCTTCGTGGACTGGCATTGGTCCTCGGACCACAACTACAGGAACACAGAGCCAATCACAGCTCAACTCACTCAACTTATGGTTACATGTCAGTTATAAGGAGGGCTGAAAGGGCATTTTAATAGGATTGCTACCAAGAGCAGCAGGTCTTCAGAGACCCCACATTTTGGGAGAACCTAAGATGGCCCTAGAAAGCCCTCAAGATGAAGTTCATCATCTGGCCCGGCCTCTCCCACTCCGGCATCCACCACCTTGACCACGCTCCAGTAACTCAAATGATTTGCCAATCTCTGTTCATCTAAGCTCGCATATGCTTCTATGTCAGCCTACAATGCCTTTTCTCTACTTTTCTACCTCTTGAATTCTTGACCCTTGTCATCCAACAGTTAGATGTGACTTCTCCTTTCTCTGGCTTTCTCAGTCCATCGCTTTTTTTTTTTTTTTAAATCAGAGTCTTTCACTCTGTCGTCCAGGCTGGAGTGCAGTGGCATGCTCACGGCCACCATGCCTCAACCTGCTGGGCTACCGTGATCCCTCCACCTCAGCCTTCCAAGTAGCCAGAACTACAGGCATGCGCTACCACGCCTGGGTAATTTTTTGATTTATTGTAGAGATGAGGTCTCGCCAAGTTGCCCGGGCTGGTCTCGAACCCTTGTGCTCAGGCAATCCTCTCGCCTTGGCCTTCCAAAGTGCTGGGATTATAGGCTTGAGCCACCGCGCCCGGCCAGCCCATCGCTTTGACCGTGAGTAACTCATAATTCATTCTGCCTTGCGTTGTGGTCAGCTGTTGGTACATCTGTGTCTCCCACCAGATTACACATTCCTAAGGGTCAGGCTTAGGCACCTGTGATTCTTCCATCTACCTCCCTTTAAGCTCCTAGAACAGCTCTACTTTGTGTGTGTGTGAGGTGGGGGGAACTTGGTGGAAAATCAAATAGCTTAAGCCTAGCATCTTCAGCGCTTTTATTATTATTATTATTATTATTATTTTTGTATAACTGAGAAGCAGCAACATCTCCTGGGGTGACTTCCCAGTCCCACAAAGAATCCTGGTCATGGATTA